GGAATTCATAAAAACAATATAATTCGGAAGCTCGGATCTTTTGAAATTCTGTACAGAGAGACGTACTTTAAGGAAGATTTTTTTTCAATCTATTCTTTATCGGTTGTAATGCAGAGTTTTGCAGGTTTATTGGAAGATTTTTGTTAAAAAATATCCAGTTGGGAGGTGGGTAGGGAGGAAAACGTGCAGCCATGAATGAAGGCCTCTAAAAACTTTCGTTAAAGTATCAATTAAAATTTTTAAAAAAGTATAAAAAATCAAGTATTTCAGGGGAATTTGAACCGGCTTCCTGGTACTGATTTAAATGAAGAAAACAGACTTTAAGGGCACTGATTTTAACTTATTTAAGTGACTTGGTTTGAACCCTTGGCTGGCTTCTCTGTCTCGTCCATCCTTTGACATTTTAATTTTATGCTGAACTTGTTCTTAGGGTCCCTAAGGCCAAGCTTCCCCTTCTCCCTAAGTTGACCTGCTTTCTGGACATGGGGCCTAGAAATGATCTTTCTTTTGGTTGTAAAAAGGTCTTTTTTTGTCTGCGTTGTGATCCAAGGGGCGAGGTCCAAGGGAAGCCTCCCAAGGCGCCATTCCTTCCCGACACCTTCCCCGGAGACGAACGATCCACGGAGTCACCTGCACTCATTCACCTGGAACACACGCAGCCCCATACCTGAGGCTTCCAGAGACTCTGATCGGGAGATGGCGTGAGTCCAGCCCAACTCCTGGGAAGCCCGGGTCTCGGAGGAACTAAAAAAATTAAAAATCCGCAGGCCTCCAGGACTGACCAGGCCCGCAGAGTGGACAAGATACCGGCCACCGAGCGACCTGTCACCAGCTGGCAGGCTGGCAAGGCTGCAAAGAGCCGAATCGCGCGCCACGGCGTCGCAGACGAATGACGTATTTCTCTACTTCCTGTGCCCCCCCCCCTCGGTTCTGCAGGGAAATAGGTCCCTGCTGAAACGAAGGCCCCTCTAACTAGTGACCGGCCCCTTTCTGGATGTGCACCTGGCCACTCCTGTATGTCAATTCCTCATAGAAAACTCTAGAGATTTCGCGTGGTTGTATCTGAGTTTAAATAATGAATTCATGTTTGTTTGCCCACCAAGTTCATCTACATGATGTGTCACACTATTCTTTATTCTTTT